GAGGAGAAAATTTTGGCACTTTGTTCCTGCAATCTCCCAGCAAACACTTTATCATGAATGCTGACTGTTGCATTTTTCTGCACAGTAAACAGCTAGAAGTGAACTTTGCTACCCTTGCTGCTATTTGTAATAGTTTGTGACAGAAAGTAGCAGATACATACTCTTGTCTCACAAACACATAAGGCAAGCTACATAGCCATCAGTCCCCTCTTTTGTTCAGGTGACATCCCAGGAAGCAAGCAAGCAAGCAGAATTAAGAGGCTCACCTTTTGTCTTTGTAACAAGATCATCTAGGTAATGATATTCTCTTCTTTATAAAAAAATTGCAGTCTGTTGCCTTCATGGAGCTGATAATTAGATGAAGTGGTTAACAGTGATTCTGAGTCAAAAATCTGTGTTTCTAACTGCTGATAACTCCTTCTGCAGGAAAAAAAAACCCTGAAAAACAGTGACACAGTAGGGACAGGGTGAAGAGCCACAGGGAAAGCAGTAGGGAACACAGCAGAACAAACATTGCAAAATCCTGCCAGCAGCTGGCAATGGAGATGCTGCTTACAAAAGGCAGCAGCTACACTGGAATAAGATGTTGTCATGGGTTGACCCTAGCTGGATGCCAGGTGTCCACCAAAGCTGCTCTATCACTCCCCTCCTCAGCTGGACAGGGGACAGAAAACATAACGAAAGGCTCATGGGTTGAGATAAGGACAGGGAGATCACTCAGCAATTACCATCACGGTCAAAATGGACTCGACTTGGGGAAATTAGTTTAATTTACTACCAATGAAATCACAGAAGGGTAATGAGAAATAGAACCAAATCTTAAAAACACCTTCCCCCCGCCCCTCCCTTCTTCCCGGGCTTAACTTTATTCCCACTTTCTCAACCTCCTCCCCATAGTGGCACAGGGAAACAGCTAATAGGGGTTACAGTCAGTTCATCACATGTTGTTTCTGACGCTTTTTTCTCCTCAGGGGGAGGACTCCTTACACTTTTCCCTGCTGCTGAGGCAGTACTCACAGTAAGCAAGACTAACTAGTTGCTAACTTAGCAATCACTACAATTAATTTGCAATTAGGAAGGGTTTTTCTTAGGAAAATATTCCCTCTTTCTCAACATAGAGAACATGGAGAAAGTTACTCAGAAGTAGTTAATTTGTAGTCCACCACAGCCATTGCTTGCACAAAGAAAAGACAATACAACACTTCTCCATTTGAAAAGAGACTGTCAGAGCTGAACAGCTCAGCAATCTCCCACAGTCCTCAGACAAGAATTTTAGGTCTTGATGATGAACTTCATGCCACTGCAGCCTGAAAACCTAGGCTTCAAAGCCCCAAAACCTAGGCTTCAAAGCCTCAAGCTTGAGGAAAACTCCAGCTTCAAATCCTTCTGTGGATTATGTTTCCTCACACAGGTAAAAGAGATTAACAGCATTTGAGAGGCAAAGACCACAGGTATGTTTTTCAGAGACAGACTGATTGCTGTGATGCTTACCTAATCAAGCATACCTTGCTATGGTTTCTGCAACCTGCTGATCACTGTAAAGCAACTACTCTGTTTTGCATTTATCATTTGGTCTCCTTCACTACATGAATTATCCCCATAGGAATACAAAAGTTTGCCTCCACTCTAAGAAATCAAAATCTTCATTCCAGGATAATAAAATATCTTGCAACACAGCCTTCTGTTGTAAAGCAATTCTGATTAATGTAGCAGTGATGTTGTCATGACTAACAGACATTAACGCTAACTTCCTATCAAAGCGTCACATCCATGTTTATTCATCTATGTGCCAAGGAAAAAGCATACTCCCAAGCTGGATGGCCATAATGTGTCAAGGTCACAGGTGGAGATTCTGCCCACTGTTCTGTGGTTCAGCCAGATCCTACATGGCCTCCTCCTTGTGAAACTCTAGCAAGTTTAAAGGAAGCATTTAGCAACATGCTACACATTACATGAAGCAAACCAGAGGTCATGGAGCACCAATAAAAGAAGCAGTTTAAGATTTGGAAGAACTCATGATGGTGGGTCACACAAACATACAATGCTGCAAATCTGCCCATCTGCACTCTTGCAACATGATTTGGTGTCCAACATTTGCTCTAGGAAATTCACTGTCCGTATTTGATGCACCTGCATATAACACAGTCATAGCTCCTTTTCAAACTGGCAACCTGTCAGAAGTCAGGTCCCCCAGGGATCGATATTGGGCCCAACACTGTTTAATACCTTCTTAAGTAATCTAGATGAAGGGATCGAGTGTGCCCTGATGAAGCTCGCCAATGACACCAATCTGCCCAGGCAAGTGGACGTTTCGGAAGGGGGAGCCATCCTGCAGGAAGACCTGGCTGGATTGGCTGGAAGAGGGGGCTAACAAGAACCTTATGAAGTTCAACAAAGACAAGTGTAAGGTCTTGCACCTGGGAAAACATAATCCAGGAGTGCAGCACAGGCTGGGATCTACCTGGCTGGGGAGCAGCTCTGGAAAGGGACCTGGGGGTCCTGGTGGCCAAGCAGCTCAACATGAATGAACAGTGTGCTGCTGTGGCAAACAAAGGATGCTGGGTTGCACCAACAAGGGCATCACCAGCAGAGATATAGTCATTATCACACTCTACTCAGTGCTGGTCAGGCCACACCTGGAATACTGCATTCAGTTTTGGTCCCTGCTGTACAAAAAAGCTGTGGACAGGGTGGAGAGGGTCCAGAGAAGGGCCACAAAGATGATCAAAGGCCTGGGAAGCCTGCCATATGAGGAAAGGCTGAGAGAACTGGGGTCGTTCAGCCTTGAGAAGAGGCTTAGGAGAGACCTTATCACTATGTTCCAGTATTTAAAGGGTGGCTACAAAGAAGATGAGACTTCCTCTTTACAGGGAGTCACATGGAAAAGACAAGGGGTAATGGGTACAAGTTACTCCTGGGGAGATTCTGATTGGACACAAGAGGAAAAATTTTCACAATGACAACAATCAGCCAATGGAATAATCTCCCCAGGGAAGTGGTGGATTCCCCAACACCAGACACTTAAGATGTAGCTGGAGAGGGTGCTGGGCCATCTTGTCTAGACTGTGCTTTTGCTAAGAAAGAAAAGCAAAAAGTGTTAAAATAGCTCTGGTAGCCATCAAACATTCCCTCTCTGCCACCTGAGAGCATCCCATCAATGCTCTAGTAACTAGCAGATCTTTCCCGTCCTTTTAAACTGCAGAAGCAGATGCTGTTTTGTTCTCTCCATTCAGAAACCCAGTGATTGAGCTCCATTCACTTCGCAGAGGTCAGCAATATTCTCTTTTTCACAAAGTGCCAGATGATGAACAACTCCTCACTGTGTGGTTTCCACTTCTGCCATATTCGTCTTTTCATTCAGTCCACAATGTAAGATCTGGGTTGCCATGAAGTGCCACAGGACGGTAAGGGACACATTTTGCCATCGTTTCTCTGCGTTCTTGTCAATGTCTATATAGCACAGGAGGGAGCACTCACAAAAAGTATATTTTGGACACATTGCTGAAAACTATTTAAATGTGAATTGTGAATATTATGTCATTTTTGACATGAGATTCCTGAAGAAACTGCATCAAATTGACCTGCAACTGTATGAAATCAACCTGAAACTTCAAAGCAAAAGTATTCTGCTTTCTCACATACTATACCATAATATCACCAGTGAGTAAACTTATTGTAGCCAAAGAAGAAAAATACTAAGCCAGGAAGGTAATTTAAAAATGCTTTCATTTACTCAAAAGAATGCAGTGCTTGATGACCATTTACAAAAACCAGGAATCTGATTAACAGGACAGATATAAAATATACATTACAAATGCTTTGCCTTGGATTACCAATCCTTGAACATTCCTAAAAAGAAGTAAGGAGACCTGGTGTTAGTTCCCAAGTAGAAGAAACTCATTCTATACTTAACTGCACAATTTGGGCAAATAATTAAGTTTCTCCCCTCCTCCCTTTCCCGTTCAAAAGCTCTTCAAGAGCATCTACTCAAAACAGCTTGCTTTCTGATGGAAGAAGGAATCCCTGACTGTGAACGCATATTACAAACAGCCAAGGACCTGATCAAGGCTGTTATCTCTGGACAGAACACAATCCCAGTCTCCTCTTTGATCTTCCCATTTGGGTCTATGCAAGAGGTATGAAACAGTGCTTTCATCACTTAAGTACATCTTTTCATGTTAAAACTTTGAAGGCTCGGGTATTTCAAAGTATGATTAATTTGTACAATAACAGGCAATATTTTATAAGAAATCTCCAGAAGTGGGAACAGTCCTACCAACTTGTCAGCATGCAGCTTCAACTGCTCAGCATCTATAAACATTTTTAGCGTGGCAAGAAAAACAGTACTTCCTGTAAACAATGTTTATCCCAGAAGTTCCCATAGTTACTAACAATTAGAACAGCATAAGCAGAAGCAATGAATGAATTCCATCCCAAAAGAATTACAGGAAGAAAAAAAAGTAGGGACAGAAAACATTTACAAGAAAGCAACTGCAATTAAGCAGACAGACTGAAAAATGAAGAAATGTTAAAACAGCAGTTAAAGAGGAGATATCACAAACTCCTGTTTAAAAGTATAAATTTTATGTATGACTGATATTTGGACAGACTAGAACATCTTTTAACACTGAGGAAACATGAAGAAGTGGAAATAGAACTTCATGGTCTAAACATAACTTACTTGGTTCTATAAGCAGAATAACAATTCCCTAAGGAAAGACAAAAAAAAGGGGCAATGCCTGAGCAGAAAGTGCAGCAGCAGCATCTTGACTCTGCAAACAGAGCAGACGCCTCAATCATTTATTTTATTTTGCTCTAGTTTTTAATCTAACCTCTGGTCAGACAACTTTAAAAGAAGGCAACAGGCATCCTGAGGATTGCAAGGCTCAGAGAAACCAGCATACTGCACATGTTCTCTGTTACACAAGATAATAGCTGGCAAATTCAGCACTTCAGTCTTCCATTCAGTGCAGGGGGTTTCTGTTGCTTCCTAACTTGGGTTAAGAAGGAATCTGAAATCTCTTCCTTGAGGTTGGAGGATTTCTCTGAAAGGACCTGTAGCAATGCTGTGAGCCTAGAAAAGATAAAACATTGTTTATTTAATTGTGGTAGAATCTGAAAGAAACTCCAAGATTATGTATGAGTTACTTCCATCAGCGTGCTCAGATCAACTTTTTGATTTGCTAATCTGCTCTTATTCTTACATCACCTTTATATAATTATGCCAATCATATAATTATTTAAACTCAAGGAACTTCAAAATAAACAAAGGTTATTACAAGCACTCAAATACCTCAGGAACTAGCTAGACAGCTTTACTGTAACAACAGAACTAAATAAGCCATGCAGGGCTGCTCTCTTTTTTCGTGTTATAAATCGAAAATAAGGTTGTAAATCAGTATTTATTTTTTTCTTTATTTAAGAGAGCTTTATACTTATGTTAAAAATGCACATTTCCAATTTTATTTTTCCCCACATAAGTTTACTGATTTGGTCAACTTACATTTAGGGCTAAAATAGAATTTATGTCATGAAACAGCTCACAAACTTGTATTTGTGTTGCTACTCTTACCAGCCGCAAAACACTCTTGCCGTAATTGTAAATATGCTGAAATCTTAAAAAAAAAAAAAAAAATTACGTTGAGATGGAAACCTTTTCCTTCCACGTCGTAACAACGAAGAGAAGCACTGCAGGATTCCTAACAGTCCTGCCAAGCACACCTGTTTTTCTTTAATGCCGAGATGGCTCTCCCTGAGGACTTCACTTCTCAACTGTACTATGGGTTAACAGGTTTTGTTGGCCTTTTGCCTTCCAAGGGATTCTTACTCTGCCTACCTATTAAAAATCCTTGACCTGTCCCTCTGTGATTAGCAAAATCCATGGGAGTCAGTGATCTCTTCTGAGGCGTATCTGTCTGTAAAAAGGAAAGACATACCATTAGCTAGTAAGGTACGCTTACCTAATTAAATGGTTTGATTACGATTTTACGATCTAGTCCAGCAGAGTGAGTCCTACCAAGCTGCAAAGCTCCAAGCAGTACTAGAACTGCACACTTCTAGCGCACGAACACCCACAAAGGAACTATTTGATCAATTAGACTTGGAGAAAAAAAAAAAAAAAAAAAAAATCTCCTCTTCATACACTAGGCCTGCTTTTCAAGGTCCGATTTCCTCCAAAAGCCTTTGAACATCCTTCTCTCTACAGGTAGCAGGAATCCCCGTATATTAGAAATCAGGACAGACCCAGTAAATGAGACCTTCTGTAGACCAATAGTGGCCATGAATGGAAGCTTCTTCACTTTTCCATGTCTCTACCTACATTGTAACATACCCTGAATGTATGAGTTGTGTTGGGCCTTGAAAATTGATCAATAATAACAGTTCTTTCTCTGAGTGGCCGTTGCTCTGTGCTGCCAGGCACTGCACTTGACACTCTGCTATGAGCATATCGTCCTCGATGCTGAGAGAATTAAAAAGAGCATTAAGGGAATGCAGAAATTGTGTTTGTTAAAATAACATTTTTTCCGCTGTCATACAAAAAAAAAAAACAAGAGAAGGAGAAAAGGAAAATATGTTTTCACTAATCAAAAGCAATTTAACATAATTTAAGGATACTCATGTTTTTCAAACAGATTTGAGACTGTTCCCTAATATTAGTCTATAATCCCCAAAAGCTTATATTAATTAAAATAATAATAATAGACTTTACATGTGTCTAAATTCAAAATATTGTTCAGGAGCAAAATAGTATCAACATGCCAATTTACTTTCATTCTGGTGATGTATTATTTCCCTGTCCTTCAAAAACAGGCCAGTTATCAGTAAGATTTTACTTTTTTTTTCCCCATTAGTATCCTTTTCTACTTCAGTCAGCACTATTTTTCTACTTCTTATAACCTAGCATTAGTGATTAAAACACTGAAAAGAGATACTTAAATCCAGATGCATATGACTGCAAGGTTACTACCTGGTTGGCTGGTTGTTTTTCCTCTTTTTTTTTAAAAAAAGAAAAAAAAAATAAATTAAAAAAACCCCAGATTTTTCTGTTGTCAGAGAAAAGTCTTTCCACCATGATCTCTTTGTGACCTGAGGTTCTAAACTGGCTTCGCTTGCATTCTAATGGCATACTCCAATGTAACACATACTAGCATATTAAGACTATGTATTAAATACAAACAAACTGTAAAATTGCTCATTTCAACCGCTAACACAGAGCAATTTATTTCCAAATACCTTGAAGCTCTTCACCAGTACAAAAACAAACACAACTTACAGAGCACTGTTGTAATCGAGGTACTGAAAGACATTGTTCAACAGCCTCCGAGTTTATTGGTGGTAACTTGTTCCGGGTTGTAAATGCACGAGCAGAAGACAAACGACCCGAGCTGGCACCCCTGCAGAATTTTAAGGGTTCCTCTTTTAGAAAAATTCATATTAAAGACTTCTTCACTGAAATAATATGAAATTATTAAGCAGTACATTTCTTTATAGAGATCATCCACAGAAAGTAACAGCATCTAATACAGCAACAAAAAAATAAAACAAAAGCCTCTCCTCAAAAATACCCAAACAGTTCTGCTTGCTTTCTTTTTCTCTCTGAATTCTAGAGTGAATAATAAATCTCAAGTTAGTTCTCAAGTATTTTGCAAAATCCTTCACTGGTGAAATTTCAGTAAAGATCTGAGGAAAGCAAAGAATAAAATGAAAAAACTCACAATGTAGTCCCCCTAAGGATTTCATCATTGTACATATTAGGAGCTTTTGAGGAGAGTTGGTCAGAAGTGAGAGAAGGTAACCTACAATGGCTTGGTAGCTTCCTAGAAGATGCCAGCAGTACCCGAGATGATGAGAGAAAACTGTTATCAGCAATTCTCCCCAACCTAGTATGCACTGAATTTGGAGCACTGGAGCCAATGTTATGCTGTTTGTCTTCTTGCTCATTCCTAGGGAAAAAGGAAAAATGAGATAAGGAATGAAGAAGAAGGAAAAAAAAAGAAAAAAAAAAAAAAGGAAAAGGATTTCTTAACAGAGTATCATTGCAACCTCTACGAATCACTGTCACACCAGTGATAAACACAACGGAGATGACTGCCTCCTTATTGCCTTTTCATAATTGCAGAACATCTTTTCATAATATGAATTATGCCTCATTTTGAAAATGTCAATACCGACACCTACTGTATTTTTTCTACTGTGGCGACGTGCCTCTGTTGGAGAGGTTTTGCTTGAATTGTCATTACACCATTCAAATCACTACAGAAATTGCTGGAGAAACGGTGAACCTAGTAAAAACAATAAATATGCATTGACCATTACCTTTTTTAAAGGAAGACCTCAAAAAGCATGTAGTTAGGAGATATTTTACTTGTTTCTTAGAAAAGTTGCTGTTAAGATGGTTCAGTAGAATTCTGAGTAGCAGATGGGCAAATCCGTTGTTTTGCTTATTTTAAACAGATTCTTACAAACAGAACTTCAGTAATTTAGTTACTGAATTGCAACTCAATTTGCAATGTAAGTTTCAGTTGAAGTTGAAGTTCGATTCTCTGAAGTCTCCATTTTCAGCCCAGCCCATAGGCACAGAGCCTGGGCATTACTTATCTAAGCATTTTACTACTTCTGGCTGCTGGGACCACTACAGAACCAAGCGTGCCCATGGGGAGCACCAAGACTGCTGTGCTATCTCTTCTGGTTTTATTTCACTACCTAACAAGCATGGAAAAAGAGCAGATGGAAGAGAAGGAAGTCACTTGAACTGAATAGATGGAGGTGGGGGCAGGGGAAAGGACACAAACAGAAGCAGTGGCTGGAAATGAAAACAAAAAACCACCAAGACAGGTAAGGGCCAGCATGCTTCTGGATGTACTGCACAGTCCTCTTTTACAAGAGGCAAAGGAAATGAAAAGGAATGAGAGACTCTGAAACTCACAGGGTTGTGAGTAAAGCACTTGAAGTTGCAACCTTGCTTCCCTGCAGTTCAGGGAAGAGCCTGATTTGTTTTCTTAATTCTACCAAGGGGAAATGACCAGATCACAATAAAAGCAGAATTATTTTCTAAGGACAGAATACAGTTTAACAAGTGTTCTTCTGTAAATCAACTTCAGCAGTATCTTAGTGGTAAATGGCACATTTAAGAACCACCAAAGAAGAACAAGTGATAGTAAATAAGAAAGGTACATTTAATGAACCTTCATTTTAAATGAGATAATTTATTTTAAGTATACCTAATTGGTTTTAAAAAAAAAGGGAAAAAAAGAGCCTTTTCTAGCTTCAACCAGGACTCTGTCTAAGGTTAGCAGAAAAAAGAACACCACGTGATGGAAAGGTATTTTTACCTGTGAGGAAGCAAAATGAGACCCAAAAGATACACTTCGTGCTTCAGAGCCTTTGGAAAGAGGAACACTCCCAGCATCTGCTACAGGACGAATGGCTGGCAAATGTGGCAGTTTTGCTGTAACAGCTTCCAGTTTTTCAACCTGTTTGTCACACTCTAACCAACAGCAAAACAAAAGTAGAGGGAATAAGAGGTATTTTGTATGTTTATCAGCCATCATTTGTTGATACTCAAACAATATTACACTTCACAGTAAACAAAGACTTTCATATAGTTTTATGTTTCCATGGTATTTAAAAATCTACCATAAATTATGTTTTTCTGAAAGCATTCTCATTTGTTTATGCTTTCTCTGACACTGACAAACAAGTTGGTCTATCCAAAGTTGGAGGAAGATGTTTAAGAAAATACTGCTAAGACTCTTGGAATGTTACTTATAAATTCTCAAAGATATTTTTAAGCAGAAAAAAAAAAAAAAAAATAAAAAAGTCTATTGATCCTATCCTTGGCTGACAGCAGCTGCACACTCCTTCATTTAGGGTATATACAACCATCTTTCTTCTATTATAAAACCAAATTCTTTTACATTCCTAGTTGAAATACTTTGGTTAGCTATTTGTCATAAGTTTATGCTCTTCATAAAGATAAAGCTGCTAAGCTATCCTCCCTAAACTATAATATTGAGCTAAAAAAATCTACCTGTGCTGCAAAAGGCCCTTTTATGTTTCAGTAGCACCTGAAATGTTAAGTTCTGATGCTGCAAGTATTCTGAGATATTTTTGCAATTTCTTACATTGTTGTCAGCTTACATTTGAGGTTCAGCATACCTTACATTTGAGGTAATTTCCAAAACCCACCCCCGGGTCTTCGTCTGTTACTGTCTTTTTAAAATACATTGAAAGAAGAACTGAAATTTCCCTCAGGCCTCCAAAGATGACACAATAAATAGAATTTCACTTCTAGTTAATTTTCCTAGCTTTTGCTTTTCCTCACTATAGTCTGTTAGAATACGAAAACACAAAATAAAATAAAATTACATGCATCACCATTTCTTCATCCTGTATTAAACTCATGAACTCCAGACTGTCTATCTCGCTTTAACAACCTGACTACCTGGTTCTTTTTATTAACAAAGATCAAACAATGAGGACTAGGAGACTTTGATTCCTAGGTTCCAGATTCGGACCACATGTCAGTGATACTCTGCTAACAGCATCAATTTGCGTCCCAAGTCTGTGATTATTTTTTTTTTAACATGCTCTCCTGCAATGAAGCTCTTTCCATCAGTATTCCTCCTTTTTTCACACATCTCATACAAAACTCCCTGAAAATTAGTAGGAATGTTTCTATTTTAGGTGCATGCATGTGTGCGCAGATGCCCATGGCAAAGCACTACACATCTTACACTGCTGTACTACCAACATGGTTATCTTAAAATAACTAGACTTCCCAAGCTTTATTTAATGGGAGGGGGAACATAAACAAAATAAAATATCTCACTTTTCTGAGTTAGATTCAATAAATACCATATCTGCAAATACCAAATACCTGTGATACTAGTTTCCCAATTTTTTTTAATCAGTTCCTCCAATATTCCAATTACACTGCTCCAGATACAATCAAATACTTCAGAAGCCACAGCATCTTTGATACAGGCATTAGGAGAAACAGGGGGAATGCCACGCTTACTCCTCTTCTCAGCCAGATGCATTTTCTTTTGTTCCCAGCTCTCATCATCACTAATAGAGGAAGCAAATTCAAATGAATTCCCATGGGTCCTGATTTTTTTTCCCTTCCCTCTAATACACCGAATGAATAGAAACATACATATGGAAGAAAAAACCAGTCAGATTTAGATCACAGAAAGCCTCCAATTCAAATGTGCAGAGTACCTATGGGAACAGAACCTATTGAATACATATAAAGATTTCTTTTTCTTTTACTTGCAGGTGAAAGATTAAAAAATCCAGTCATGGCATTACAACAGAAGGGTCTGCAGCTCTAGAAGGAACAGCTTTATATGTGGCACTTAGTCATCTGAGACTAAATCCTATGCTTTTTACCGTAAGGGAACTATTGTCTGTTGCATTTGGCAGGAGGACTACAGATAGCATCCTGTGCACATGCACACATCTGCAACACTCCACCACCGATGAAAGACAAACAAATTTAAAGGATTTCTGCAGCCTGACAAGAATAGCAGAGCCCATAGCCTCACACTCACCACCTTCCCTTCCACTACTGTGTGTACAGTTACATTTTTTTATTTTTCCCCCTCCCTCCCTACCTAGGGAAGCATAGTCTAGCAATATTTCCTAACTTGGTCTTCTAACACACCTCTCAGGAAGAAAGTTTTAACCTTTTTCTTTTTTTAATGCCAGCATATTTCTTTCTAAGGAAATGCAACTTGTTTTGAGGTTACAAGGATGATCAAATTCATGCTGGTTTCTACTATCTCCCTTTCTCTTCTCAGTCACTTCCTCACTTCTTCCTCAAACTGGACTGCAAACTTCTTAACTATAACTGAGATTTGACTGAATGGTCCAACTCACAAAATGTCAAGCCATTTTCGTATCAGGCTTTGTAATGCCTAATGTTTTAGTTATGGAGAACAAGATATTTCAGAACTGAACAAAACAAAAAACAACATATCAAGGAGGCACAAAGGACAGAAACACACCTTCTCTCCCTCAAATTAAGTTTGCTTACTTAACAAAACAAATAGAGAAAAAACCTAAGAGGATTCTTAAACCCAAACCCCTTCCAAAAAGGCAGCCAACCAGGCCCTCTCTTTCAAAAACAGGACTAAAAGGGTCTCAGTCTGGTTCCTCAGCTTTTCAGAACAAGCTTTTATTTTCCCTGTAAATGCATCAAGATTTAGCACAAAAAGTTATGCCTTGTGCCCCACTAGTCCTACCGAAGTTTCCCCCTTGTAGAGACCTTTTAGAAAACAGCACATTGTTGCCCTTCATCCACCCAGTAGCCTAGTTGCTGGAACATTCAACTGGCTCACAGGGAACCTAGGTTACATTGCAAAGAAGACAGTTACATGACCCCTGTCACTCACAAGAGTGCCCTAAATGCAGGCTGTATCCTGGATATCTCCTCACAAAGCTGTTACACGCTGCAGAGAAAGAATTTGAGATTTATTAGGGCAGACAATGAGAACATGTGCAGTGTAATAACCCTAAACAACCTGGTGGCCAAGACACTCACTTAGGGAGAGGGGATTCCTTCATTCTACTCCCTGTCTCAAAATTAAATGTCCATTTTACTGAATCCTCATACACAAAATGCCTCAAAACAACTAGTGGCTAAAACACATTCCACTGACATGGGAGATGTGAGTTTTGAAGAACTAGAAAGTCAACATCACTAATCTTCCACAGGCCCAGTGAATACTCTGACCACTGTGCTACTGAACACAGGGACAGAAGGAACTGTATTCTACAGAATAGAAACACAGTTTATGAACCCTGACTGGCTTCACTGATAATTTTTCATTATATTCCCCCAAAACACATATATCTGTTATTTACATCTCCTTGTTATCAAAGGCAAGATATTCTTCTATTTTTCCATCCACATCATAGATTTCTTCTTCCAGGAATGAATACATGGATGAATCGGAGGCAGAAATCCTAGTGGAACTTGAATCTAGTGATTTATGTATCGGAGATGGTATTGGGATCAGTTTAGAGCCTGAAATGCAGAGCCTGAAAAAAATATAAACACAATGAGAATTAAATATTCAAAGAAAGAAGAAAGTGCGTATTTAATTATACTGAAATGTTTAAGTAATATTTGTACACATTTCTGAAGAGGGAAGACCAAAAAAAAAAACAAACACCATACTCTTTTATATTACTAGTACATTCATGGAGGCCAGGTGAACACGTAGTATCGACACAGGTATCACTTCTGCTCTGAAAATGCTGAAAGCCTTCATCCTTGGGCAATAGGAGCTGCTTTCCTAGAACCCTGAATAAAAAAGGAGAGAGTAAGCGGTATCTTACATGGAAATCCACTCCATATGCAAATATCAAGAATACAAATACCTGCGAACAGTAGGCAATGCAAAAGCACACCTTACCTTTGCTTCGAAAAAGCAATTTATGGAGGGGCCAGGGCCTTGTGTAATACGTTCACATTGTCTAGTATTTAAGTCATTAAAGTTACACAGACTTATGCAAGATGAGATTCTAGCTTATATTTTTTAAGAGCAAATAATCAAACTTGTTAGATTGTTCTAAAGGCAGATAAACACACTTTTCTTATCAAAAGAAATGGATGCAGAAGACAAATAGCATCTGCTATGACTTCACTTATCCAACTCCAGTACCCATCAATGTAAGCAAAGTCCTAATCCAAAAATGTTTACATGAATGGTTAAGGTTAGAATTAATCTTCAGAAAATGCACAAACTCCAACATGCATAATGTACAGAGGCAGAAAGAAAAGGTAAAATCAACTCTATTTAGATATACACATATTTACTCCATACAATAATTTCTGAATACAGTATAAGTGAACAGTAATCACTGCTTACTGAACCATTTTCACTAGAATCCACACAGGATCTCGAAAGAATTTACCAGTCACATCTGTAGTGCAAGCAGCAATGTTCAGACTCACCTGAACACATTTTCTTGAGACTACCTTTTACAGAACAGCACTTCATGCCATGTGAAACTCAGCAATAGCCTTTTTTACTTTTTATTTTGTAAGCCAAGAACAAAAAGCTTTCTCTTTACATATATGATCTTTATCTTATTGATGGCAGTTCTAAGTATATTTATTCCCACATGCTAAGCTAAGTACTCATATATCAACATAGCTGGATTACAAATTAAAAAAAGGACAGGCAGCAAGCTCTTTGAAGCACAACTCCCAGAAATAAATCTGGCATCCCAGAAGCTATTCTTTAGTGTAACTAAACACCTTAAAATGAGTTTTAAGGTTTAAGCTTAATAATGAAAATAACTTTTTTTTTTTTTTCTTTTTCAACCACAGGATGTACTACATCACCGAGTTGTGATCAGTGGTGCTGAGTCTAGTTGGAGGCCTGTGACTAGTAGTGTTCCCCAGGGGTCAGTACTACGTACAGTCCTGAATATTCAATATATTCATCAATGACCTGGATGAAAGGACAGAGTGCACGCTCAGCAAGTTTGCTGACAATACAAAGCTGGGAGGA